TATTAAATTTCAAATCCAAATCAATCTCTCTCTTTACTCTCTATCATCTCCCTACCCCTTCTACTTCGGTCATCTACTCCGGCGACTGTTCCGGCGATCACTCCGACGGCCTCTCCGGCGACTGTTTCGGCGGGCGCTCCGATGACAGTTCTGACTGCTCCAATAACCACTCCAACGCATGCTCCGATCAACCTACCCACCACATCCATCCACTTCCAATTTTCAAAAAAAATTCAGAATTTCAAGTTACAATTGGTTACAACGGGTCACAATTAACCAGTCACAATCGGTCACAACCGGTCACAATCAACACATATTTGGTCGGAAATCCTCAAATGAGTTCAGAAAAAAACTTCACAATTTGAAACTACATGAAATCATCCTTCATGATAAGACTCGGTCCATGTCCATGAATGGACAATTCAGCTGATATAATGTATAATTCAATCTCCTGATATTGATAATCAAATGCAGGCAATTGGGTCACTTCGTGATCATCCAGAAAAACAAGACTTGATATTTTGGATTCCACACGACATAAGCTTCATATCTGCTTCTTTGTTCAATCATGCGGTGCATTAGATCTGGAGTTATCAGTAAAATGATACAAAGTACAAACAACACCAGCAACCTGTTTCCAGTTTCGGGTTCCAGCAGCAAAAGCTGCCCCTGCATTAACCCAATCTTTTTTTCCGCAATATCTTTGAATCCCACAGTGAGTGAAAGAAAAAATTGCGGCAAAATATCCCCACTTAAGCCCATATTGACCAACCGACTTAGCTACGAAAGATGCACGAGCGATACTAGTGAGACCCAGTTTGTTAGCATCAAATGGACCGACACAGGAACCCCAAATCTCGCCGACAGTGCCCATACGTATGACAGAATCAACTGCGATAGAAGAGCAAGGAGCGTCATCGAAGAAGTCTCTTTCCATTGTCGAGAATTTGATCGACCTTCGATTTTTCTGCGAAGCACTGTCCCCACCAAAAACTCCCTCCCAAACACACCCAACAATGCACCACCCCCTACCAGGTCCGGCACGTAGACGTTGAAGTGAGGTACCAAGACCCGGACCGTGTCGTACCATTGCCACAGAACGTTGGACCCGAACTCTTGTATGACACCAGATCATGTCGGGTCGATTTTGGAGCTTGGGCACCCAGCAGTGCATTACAGTATCATCACTTAGCTCAGTGAGTCGATCAGAGGCCCAAATTGGTTAAGCCAGATCTGAGGCACCAGTTTCTTGATGCAGTTAATCTGAAGCATTTAGACATAGCAGCGTTTGTGGTCTCCGGTGACGGCACCAACCACCGCCACCTTCACAGCGCTCTCATCTCCGAACGGTACCAACGCCGACGGCTGGGGTGATGGGGTGGGAGACGACGGCGAACGAAACGACATATCTGTGCAATGGATAGGTGACGGGTGATACTCCGTCGATTCTCAAGACGGCGACGAGTTGGTAGAAATGTAGAGAGAGAAAGACGGGTTGGGAATCTACTATCTAGGAACTAGGATGGTTCTAGAGAGAGAGAGAGAGAGAGAGAGGTGAGTTGGGTTATGAATTAGCAATTTTTATTAATTGTAATTATTAAAACTGTATTACGACCTGATTTGTGAATAAAAATTAATTCACTTGTCTTTTGAAAATGAAACTTTAAAAGTAGGTTTCTAGATAATTTTCCCATATTTAAGGTCGACCTAGAGGGCCGGACATTAAATTGTTTGGGCTCAAAACAAGGTCCAGCTAAAGTTTAGAAAAGTTGGGTTAGGTTCTCCACTATCTCAAAGTCCAAACCCAAGAAAATACAACATGAGTTGGACTTTTTTATTTTGCAACGAAGTCCCTTAATTTCCACGACTTTTTATATATTACACATAACTTTATAAGCAAAATTCTTAATAACATGTCATCGTCACTAAACATGTTTGATATACACATTTCAAAACAAAATATTTACAATATATGATATTATATAACGTTGTCAAAATGCGATTGACCGCCCCGCACAATCCAACCCTCGATAATAGTCTAACGTCGTGTCAACTTGGTTCGCATGTGAAAGCAGGATATGCCAAGCTTGGCACTATGGTATGCTAAAAAATTGAACATAATAAAAAATTCAGCTTGTGGCCAACCTCTTCAAAGTCACAGCCATAGCTCTCCTGTTCTCGTAGGAATAAAATTCTGTGAAGAGGGCCGTTCCTCGTGTTGGGAAGGGAACATGGCAGCCTCTGTTGAACAATACTTGGGTGGTGGCAATGCACATGGCCTTAACTCACTAAAACATCCTGATAATGTTCGACCAGATTGAATCTGGCCAATCCGGTTACAGATTGAGTAGGTGTCATAATGGGACGAGGTATAGGGGTACACGTGCAGATTTACATGACTCATCGTGTTATGCATTGGGTTGAGTATGATGTTTTGAGGAACAGAATTTGGCCTCTACATACTGAGGCAGATACTTGGTGTTCTACGAGTTCGTTCATGGGCAATGGAACGTTGATTCGAACCAGTTGTTTTGGACATGGTTCACAAAGAATAAGGTATTGTTAAACTTGAAACACCTCGTATAAAAATTTAAACTGTTAGAGAGCAGATAAACATATTTATCGATTTTATGTCGTCAACAGATATCTATCTTGAGCCTTATGCACATGGCCATAATTGTGATTGGAAGCAAACTAAGAGACTTTTGTCTGATGATAGATCGTATGTATCAAATCAAATACTCCCGTGGCACGACCAAATCATTGTCGTGGGAGGTAGACTGGTTTTTGTGTTCGAATTTGTACCAAGATTATCATCCAAGAGGTTCAAATATTATGATCTTCCATTTTTGCACCAAAACCTATGACAAAAATGAGGGAGTAAATAATCTCTACCCTATAATCCACTTTCTTAAGATGGTCATCTTTTCATTTTCGCAAACTGGGATTCGATCCTTTTCAAATATAAAATAAACAAAGTTGCCAAAACCTTTCCAAGAATTCCTGGAAATGGATCCAGGAGCTATCCAAGTACAGGTTCATCAGTCATTCTCCCTTTAAGCCATACTGATCGCTTCGAAAGGGTTGAAGTCATGATATGTGGAGGGGCGTCTTCTGACGCATATTCAGCAGCCCAACACGGCAGATTCTTACCAGGATTGACATCTTGCGGGAGAATGGAAATCACAGGTATTGAGTCTTTAGTTTCCATCTTAAAATGTGAGCGTTGTTAATAGGAGTAGTCCAATTCTTTATAATTAAGCATTGTGGATTTTGCCATTGACAGGAAACAAACACGAATGGANCAAACTGGGATTCGATCCTTTTCAACTATAAATTAAACAAAGTTGCCAAAACCTTTCCAAGAATTCCTGGAAATGGATCTAGGAGCTATTCAAGTAAGGTTCACCAGTTATTCTCCCTTCGAGCCATACTAATTACCTCAAAAGGATAGCCTCTAACGCATTTTTAGCCACTCAACTAGAGATAATTACTGGGATTGGCATCGTGATGGAGAATGGAGATCACAGGAATTGAGTCTTTAGTTCCCATCTTGAAACGTCAACCTTACTAATATAAATAGTCCATGTCAACCTTATTTAAGCTATGTGGGATTTTACCATTGATATGAAACAAGCACGAATGGAAAATGGAGAACATGCCCAGGCCGCATCTAATGAACGATATGCTAATGCTCCCACAGGCGACGTACTGCTGATCAATGGCGTGAAAAATGGTTGGGCTGACGGAATTCAGCAGCAAATCCTTCCCTCCAGCCTTATCTCTACAAACGGAGAAAAATCACTCACAGTCTTAGCATCAACAAAAATTGCCAGAATGTATCATTTTCGTCTGAGGAATACAAGGCCAAGAAATTTGGTGTTTAAAGCATAGGCACCTCCATTTACTACACATTCAATTTCAGTGAATCAAAGGATGCTTACACTTAGGTGCAGAAACTTGGTTAGGGGCTGAAAAGGGGTTGATAAATGCACATTTGGAAGCTCTTCTTAATCCAAATGTGGCACCTGCTGGTTATTATATGCTTACAGTTGTTAATTATGGAATTCCTAGTGTTTCACAGTGGGTTAGATTCATACATGCTTGAGTTTTTTTTTTTTCCCCTTTTTACTCTCGTCTCTCTCGAAAAGTTATACTTGAGACGACCACACTATGTAATAAGAATAAAAGAGAGCGATATTTAATGTAATAGTATTTGAGACACATAAATTATTAGTTGCCTTGATATTGAATTACTTGAAATTACTTTTACCATAATGTTTATTTTTGTTTCTTTAATATTGTTTTGACAAATTGTCAATTCTCTTCAATTATTTGGCATTGTAAACGAATCAACAGACATTTTTTCTTCAGATTGTTATTCTTTTTTAGAATGATCAACTGGGGTCTGATGGGTTCGGGTCTGGGGGATTGTTCTTTTCATTTTGTGCTGCATCGCCATAACGTTTAATGCATGTTGGTAGGTGTAAGTGTTATGCCCTAAGTCCAATCAACTTTGGACATAAATACTTTAGTCCAATCAACTTTGGACATAAATACTTTATATATAATCAATGCGTATGTATGACAATATATATTATTTAATTGAATTAATATTCTAATAAATTAAATAATAGAATCTGTAGATTCAAGTTTTGGTGATTTGCTAATCACAAGGAATTGTGATTGTGAGATACA